GTAATCGAAAAGCCTTGCAAGTTGCAACTGAAATTTATAAAGGATCCCAATTTATAACAGTAGTTGGTCATCTTTATATTTACCACAAACTACGGACACACAAAAATAAAACCAAAATTAAAATGTAGCTAAATTAATTATTGTGTAAATTCATTTTCATTGCTTTTCTATGTTATGCGTGTGTTACTCGCCGGACTTTGTCAGTTTTTGTAAAATCTTTGAATCGAAATATATTCTTCTAACATCGAAATGCATTTCATTAAATAGTACTATAATTTAGAACCTATGATATTATTTTATAGAGAAAGAAATAAAATAAAGTAAAGGGGCCAAAAAAAGTGTGACGCAACGACAAAAAAGGTAAATGCAAAGAGACTCTTCTTCAGAGTCCACTCACGGGTTAGTTTCATCTGTTGGCAACTGAAACGATTCAGTTTCCTAAATCTCAGCTATTAAATTACCCTAACTACCCCTACACATATCTTATATTTACAAAAAATGCCACTCACCACCGTAAGAGAGATCGGAGAATTAACTAACCTGTACGAAGATACGGTTAGGTAGCTGAGAAACTGATTTGAGCAAGTAATTAGAGCTCCACCGTAGAGCGACGAGTGCGTTACGATATTCCGACGAAGGCATAAGTTCTCCGAATTCGATTACGCTCCAAGCGAGCATCGTGGTCGTAAAAGCCATCGGAAAATTGAATTTAACGTTATCTCCGGCGTCGTAATAACCGCCGGTTAAATCGGTGTTGTAATTCCAACCGTCGCTTAAACCGGAGTTTCGTCGCCACGTCAGTCGTTGGTCGTTTGGGAGGTAGCCAGAGCGTTGGCCTTCGAAGAAAAGGATTGATTTTGAGAGTGCGTCGGAGTAATCGTGCGCCATCATTGGAGTAGCCACGAGGAAGAAGAAGAAGAGAGGGTAAAAATGTAATTTCATGGTGTATCGGCGACGGAGGAACAAATAAAAGTCGGTGGTAGTTGTGACGAAGGGAGCTTGTTACTGTCTGTGTGCGACTCCTCCGTGTCTGAAACTACGAGTTGAGTCACGAGATGTGTTTTATATATACGAAGTTTGGGACTTGGGAGATAATATTTGGTGTTTTTTTAATTGATGCAATGAAGGCGTAATTATGTGAATATTACCTTTTGTTATGCGGTTTATGATCTTTTTATTTATTTTTAATCTGATTCAAATCATTTTATGGAAAAGAAATTGTGTTCTTATGCGATTCTATATTTAATAATTAATACTATAAATAACTTCATTCATATATTGGTTTTTTTTTTAATGACTAGAATTTTTTTAATGAAAACTCATACATTATCCAAGGCTCGAAATCATAGCATTGTAGTATGGTTCGGTATTGCGATCTTTCGTATAATTTTTACAATTCTGTCGTTTTATGATATTAATTGGAACTCACACATATAATTTAGGACTAGCTAGGAAAAATGATGATTTTTTAATAAAATGTAAGTAAGGTTTTGATAAAGCCATGAATTCAATTCTTTCGGTAATAACTAGAGAGGTCTTACGGTAACTAGTACTTGGAATGCGAATTTTTTAAAATGTAATAAACGATACCTCAAACCAAAATAACTTAAGCTTAATACACGAGTAAAATTTCGACTTAAATTTATAGGTTTGTATTAGGGAAATATTTAGCAATCTTGGGTTGAATTATATTTCTTCACAACTAATTGATTTAGAATATTGTTAATTGTGCGTGCACTAGCACTACCGACAAATGAAATTGGAGTGAGCGAGCGAGCAAGCCCATGGTGGTGTTTTGGTTTTTGCTAGAAGATAAACCAAAATCAAATATATTTTCTAGTTTGTTTGTTTCATCATCTTTTTAGGGATACAATTTAATATTTTCATTACATTTTATAATGATAACGGCATAGTGAAAAGTATAAGCGACAGGATTAACATAATAATATACTACTTTCTCAATATTATAAATCGATTATGACAAAAAAAAAATCGAATATGCAAAAAAAGAATTAGAAATCTCGTGACAATGTGGGACCGATCAATACTGTGACATGATTCGGGCTTTGAGCTAAAGCGTTAAGTTGGTAAAGAAGTGAATGTATAGGGCTGGACAAATTATCCGTTAAATTTGATCTGATTTTGTATTCGTTTAGATCCGAACCGAAAAATTCAGATATTCATTTTGAATCGAAGCGAAGCAAATAATAAAATTTAGTATCCGTCTAAACCGAAGCAAATCACAAATACTAACTTAAAATATTCGAATATCCGATCCGATTCGATCCGTATATTACTTATACATACATATAATGTGATAGATTTATAACGTATATTTACATTTGTACTTTTAAATATATTTGACGAAAAAACCATATTATATCCGATCCGATCCGTATATTACTTATATATATATTATGATAGATTTATAACTTATATATTTACATACTAACATCTAACACCATTAGCAGTTTTTATTACACACGTTTACGTGAAAATTCACATTCTAAAGTATTCTAATTCTATTAAAGTGCAGTTTACATTCACACAAGTGCCACTTAATGAAACCATAAACCTCTACCATCCAAATTTCAAAGGTGAGTTGTCTTAAGTTAATTTGGAGAATTTTCTCAAATCAATCGTCATTGTGGGTTAGATGGATTAAGGACTCCCTATTACATTACGACTCATTCTGGACAGCTAGAGAAACATTTTCGGTGGGTTCATGGATGTGGAGAAAGATTATAAAGTTTCGAGCAATTGCGAAAGATTTCCAACGGGTTAAGGTTGGCAATGGGGTTTCAACGTCCTTCTGGTTTGATGAGTGGTGTGACTTGGGAAGGATTCACAATGTAACTGGACCGAAAAGAGTTATTGATTTAGGGATTGCTTCAAATGCAACCGTGGAGATGGTTATGAACACACCGTCGATGACAACATCGTGGAGAATATTTGAACCAAATAGAAGAAGAGATAGAAAAAATCAGAGCGGGGAAAACAGAGCAAGGGGATGTATCCTTATGGAGGACATCAAACGGTGAATTCAAGAAATCATTCACGTCTAAGGAAACTTGGCAACGGATTCGAGTTATCCACACGCAAACAAACTACTCTAAAGGAATTTGGTTTAAGCATGCTACTCCAAAATTCTCCTTCTTCACATGGCTTGCAGCGGTCAATCGGCTCTCAACAGCGGACCGTATGTGCACTTGGAACTCACATAATAATGCTCAGTGTGTGCTCTGCTCAAAAGACGAGTCAAGGAACCATCTTTTCTTCACACGTTCGTACTCACAAGAGATATGGCAACGACTTTCATCAAGACTACTAGGCAACCATTACACATTCGATTGGAATCAGCTTATCCTTACACTCGAGGCTCCGGTTTTGACAGACTAAACATCTTCCTAATCAGGTACCTC